CCCAGTCCTGCCTCCAGGTCAGGGCACGTCTCTGCCCTTTGTGCTTCTAAAACCGCCAGCCGCTCCCAGTTTGCCCACCCGACCCCGTCGCTCCAGGTTCCGCCCCAGAGGCTGCCCTAAAGTCCTTTCCCCGCCGCTACCGGTCAGTGAGTCTGTGACCCGTCCCCAGTGCGCGAGGCTATCGCTCACCGGTGGTGTAGGATCCCCATGTCCAGGCACCCTCCCGCTGCCGTTTATCCTCCGATATCTGCTCATGGAATCACAGCTCCCCGCTTCGTACCTCAAAACCAACCGCCTGTGTTTGTAGAGATCCAGATCTTCTTACATCTCAGGCTGGTTTCTTGGGTGCTCAGAGCGGTCTGGTAGATATCCAGCTCAATTCCGGGGACCAGTTGAAATAGGGTCCCCTACTCCTCCACCATCTTTCCTTCTCCAAATATATCATATTTCACCTTCTTCCCTTACAATGTTGGACTCCAAGGAAAATGTACTGACCACAGTCTATCACCTGAAAGCGTCGCTCCTTGGGCCAGAAGATGTGCTTTGGTTGGGTGCCACATATTATCATGAGTGTGGTGGTCTTGCTGTAGTTGAGAGATTTAGATAACAATGCTGGGGGTCACCACTTTTTTCTGTGGGTGATGACAACACGTGCCGATTTAGCAGCCTTCTTGAAATTTGGTTCAGCATCACCGTAATTTAGGATCAGCAGAGTATCTTTGTGGAAGACCTTTTCACATCCTATTTAAACCATCTTTTCCAGGGAAGGAGAGAGAAAATTAGGCTAAGGTTTCCCTTCCTGCAATCCAAGTCCTAGAGCCAGACTTGAAAATAGGGATCCCCCACTGGCATCGGGCTTCGTGTCCTCTCTAGAGCCCCTCTTTCTGTGTTTAACAAGCTGCTTAAACATCATTATAGAAGAATAGATGTTCAGCTTCATTTGTGTTTGTTAGTGGAATGACACGTGGCATTGTTTAAGAGTATTTTAGAATCACACTTTTTTATGATTATAAAAACTACACATACCTGTTATAGAAAGTATTTGGAACAAATCACCTATACTAATTCTACCACATAGAGCAAACAGCTGAGAACATTTCAGATAGTTCCTTCTAGCCTTTTTTCTATGCATATTATCCATGTAGAATGGTCTGCTAATGAGGAAAATGTCTTGGTCGGACTTCTTTTATCATAAGAGGATATCAATTCCCTCCTTCACTCAGCTGATTTTACCACATAGGGCCTTGCCCATGACTGACAACCTAGAGCAGGTTCGTTCCAGGTCCTTGTCAGAGGTCCTCCCATGCCACTGAATAGTAACCAAATCAGCACTGAGAGGAAGGACAAGGGAAGAAGCCCGAAGGCTGTGCCTTTACTCAATTATACTTTGGTAGGATCTTTGCCTCTTCTGAAACACAGGATAAACTATGGCTGTGTGATATTTAATTTTGAGTTCTGTTCATTCTATTACATACTGAAATTTGTGAGGACACAGAGGAAGAAACTCCTTCAGGTATCAATCCCTTCTCAGGGGCCACTGAGTTATTTTTATCTTTGAAATTCAATATACATGATTGTTTTCCTCTCTTTGCACTGGCTTCTAGGAAATTTACTGGTAAATTTATAGCATATTTCTAGCAAGGATATAGCACCGAGGGTTTATATTTTGTATACTAACTTTATTTTTGGCTTCATCTTATCTTTCCCAAACTTTTTTCTTACAGCCATTTTTATGCTTCTATTAGAATATTTACATAAATCAATTTAAACCCTGCTGTGCAGAGGTAACATGGTGTGAAAATGTATCTTTTTATCTGCAGAATAGTTTCAATTTGAATAGATGCCTGCACTTAAAACTTGAAGAATTTTACATAAAAACCCAGATTTCTGGCTTCTTTTTTAAAAATTAAAGGTCATGTAATACTAGTCTCACATTTGCAGCTTCCTTCTTTAGGTGGGGGAGATGCTCTCCAGTGCTATAATCTTGCCCATTTGCTCTTATATTCTCAATATAGAGACAGTATTTCAGTCCTCTAGTTATCAAGGTTCTCCTTCACTTATTTGTTCCTGCCTAGTTCATGTGGGCACTGGAATTTGCAACCTCTGTTTTACAGGATATGGTCAACTGTAAGTAAATCTATCTGTGTTTGTATGTATATAATACATATAATTGGGATGACCCTTTTAAACACCTAACAACATTCTAAGGGAAAAACAAACAAAAGGTGTATAGAATATTTGAAATGTTGGAGCTATTTTTCTTTATTTTATTTCCTCAGGTAATAATATCCCATTATGAATACGTTTTGGGTATTCCACTGAATGACCGAAAAGCTATCAACAACTATACTATCAACAGTACAAAGGAACTGCCCACAGTCCCATACCTAGGGGATTCAATACCAACACCTTTGGTGGAGGAAGAAACTACAGCATCTGCTAGCCTCGTCACCATGCTCTGGTCCTTCTCTGTGTCTAGCTTTGCAGTTGGTGGAATGATTGCATCATTCTTTGGCGGGTGGCTAGGGGATCGGCTTGGAAGGTAGGCAAGTTTCATAAATAAGCATAAACATGGAAACTTTAGTATTTGGGGTTTCTAAAACTTTGTTGAGAAAGAAATCATCTTTCCTTTTGTGGAATAGTTTCAGAGTTGTTCTTTTCAATTCATGAACCTATGAATTAGGTTTTAGAACAAATAATGGAGAAAGCTGTTGCCCTAATCTGCTTAACCATAGAGGCATTTATAGCAAAAGTGGGTTTGGTGTGTATTTCCACAGAACTGATTTGATTCTCTAAATTTTTTAGTTTTAAAACATATTGGGGTGCCTGGGTGGCTCAGTCAGTTGGGTGTCTGACTCTTGATTTTGGCTCAGGTCATGATCTCAGGATTCTGAGATCCAGCCCCCACCCCCAAGTCAGGCTCAATGCTCAGTGGGGAGTCTGCTGGAGATACTCTCTCTCTCCCTCTGCCCCTCCCCCCCACTCACTCTCCCTCTCTCTCTTTCTCAAATAAATCTTTAAAAAACTAAAATAAAATAAAACATGTTAAGAAACCACTACATAAATGGTTAACTCAGGAACTCAATGGCAGAGCTAAGAGTAAAATTTTTAACCAGGGAATCCATTGTTTGCTTCACCAAATCACTCCATTTCTCAGACATCCAGTTTTTCATTTTCAAATTAGAATTTGGCATTTGGATCAGTCAAGTCCTAAGGTCAAATCAATATCCCTAACTCCCAATTGCCCAATATACTTGGCATGGGTTTCTAGCTGTTGCTACTGCTCTCTCAAAGCCCCAACCAGAGATGAAGCAAGTAGTGTCTCCACTTCTTTACCCTGGTTTTTATCAAGTGTATTGGATTAAAAATGTCATTTAAAAAAAAACTCCCTGGAACTCCTTTACACTTAAATTTCATTCACTTAGTCATGTGACATACTAAAAATTGGGATTCCACCCCCACACACAGAGAGAGGAAATAAAATCAGAAAATCAAATGGGTTTTTTTTTGGACTCATTTTCTGTTTTGAGGCCACCTTTTGTTTATTAATTTCTTTTTCTCTGATGATAAAAATAAATACGCAAATATGGAAAATTTAGAAAATGCAAAAACCTCTAAAGATGTATATATATATAGGTAACTATTTTAGTAATTCTAGATTACAATTCATTTAGTTTTTTAAATTCTTACTTTAAATTATAATTTTATCTCTCTCATTATTAAAATTCTGATAATTTCCTTCTCTTGCACTGGAGATTTTATATAAGACTATAAGAAGTTTTCTTAAACAATGAGTATCATTGGGGCACCTGGGTGGCTCAGTTAGTTAAGCATTTCGGCTCAGGTCATGACCCTATCAGTCTCCCTGCTCAGCGGGGAGTCTGCTTCTCCCTTTGTCCCTCACCCAGCTCTCATGCTCTCTCTCTCTCAAATAAATAAATAAAATCTTTTAAAAAAATGAGTAGCATAATAACCCAAGTTTTATTCTTGTTCTTACTTGAAAGGGACTTTCCTCTACCACAAAAGATAATAGTTTCTCACATTTTTATCAATTTGCTGGTATTTAGCTGAACTTAAAAATCAGAATCTGCAAGTTACAGGGTTCGCAAACTGACTTTAATTGTTAAAAAAAAATTTTAATCATTTTAATTTGAACCAAACTGGTTTATGCAATAATTGGAAAATTTTCTAGATTAATATTTCTACAATAAATAAAATTAAGCAAAGTTAAATTTTAAAATATGAATCAACCAATTCTTTTAGCAGCTACTAATGTTTTATACCTCTTCCACCCCTAAAGAGAAAATTTAAGGGGTGCCTGGCTGGCTCAGTTGGTGGAGCCTGCGACTCTTGATCTCCGGATCATGAGTTCAAGTCCCAAGTTGGGCGTGGAGCTTACTTTAAAAAAAAAAAGAAAGAAAGAAAAAATGTAAGCCCTTGTTCTCATCTCATTTAGAAATGAGATTTTGACATGTCTAGTGATGTACTCTAAAGCATTTAATTCATGTCCTCGTGATAGATACAGGATGCATACCCTCTCAAGTCTTAGAATTTAGCATCAACAATGGTCATACCCCAAAACAATGTCAAATGATCATTTATCAAATGACTTTGGTAAACTAAAAGTGAGGCTTCTTCCAAGTATCAGTAGAAAAATGATTCTCCATGAATAGCACCCACAAAATTAATAATTTTAACATCAGGGGTGCCTGGGTGGCTCAGTCGTTAAGCATCTGCCTTCGGCTCAGGTCATGATCCCAGGGTCCTGGGATCGAGCCCTGCATTGGGCTCCCTGCTCCGCGGGAAGCCTACTTCTCCCTCTCCCACTCCCCCTGCTTGTGTTCCCTCTCTCACTGTCAAATAAATAAATAAAATATTTAAAAATTTTTTTAAAAATAATTTTAACATCAAAATTAAGACAAAAGAGTTCAGTCTCTATATAAACTATTTTTCTAGGAAGATTCATTGAGAAATGACATGATTTTCCTTATTGACCAGGTCATTGCTCCATCAATTAAAAATAAGTAAATAAAAGCTTATTTTTCCATTACCTCTTTTAAAAAAAAGTCTTTCCTTATAATTGTGTAATAGGCAATAAATGTCTGTGGCCACTGCTTCATAGATTTGGCTTCTCAGGGTCAATTTTTCCCGAAGTTGTGCACTTAAAATTTAATTACAAAGACATGGTGGAGAAGACCATGGTCTGTGCAATCCACACTACCGTAAATGAAGGAAGGTATACATAGCCTGCCTTTAAATGCATTCTTTCTTTTGTATAAAAAAATGGAACTCACTAGAATCAAGCATTAACCTTTGGTTTCATACAGATCAAGCCCCAGCTCTAACACTTAATAGTTGTGTGAAAATGAGCAAGTTACTTAGGTTCTCTAAGATGTTTCCCCATCCATCTACAATGTAGGAAAAAATAATACCTAACTCATGGCATTATTGTGAGAATTACATGAGAGCACAGACAGAGGATTTATCACAATGCCTAGCACATAGTAAGCAGGCACTGAATGTAGCCTTACTTTGATGCTGATGCTGATGAAGACAATGATCATGACAGTGTTAAAGCCTATGCTAACAGGAGTATTTAGAGCAAAATTTAAAGAAATATACTTAGAAATATATTTCCTTCTCCCTGATTCAGTGATTTCATGTATTTTTGGATTATTTATTCTTGGCCATTTCTCATGCCTGAGCAGAAGTTAAAATCCTTTAAGTGGTACAAAGTGCTCTAGCACCCACTGATGATAAGGAAGAGGGACTTTAGAGCAATCTGGCATCAAATATACTTTCAAGCTATCTCTTTTAAGAGTTTTTCTCCCTAATAGAATATATTCCCTAACAGAATATATAGTACTAGCCAGCTAGTAACAATTTCTTAAGGTAAATTATTGAATTTGTTTGCCCTCTGAACTTGAGTAGAGAAAGGGTACTTCAGAGAGAAACAGCCCTGTCTTTCTCTGCTCTGCAGCTCTGAAACTGACCAGCTCTAAATCACTGTTTCCCCTCCCTTTGAGTAGTTGACATTTTCCTATGTTGGTTTTCTATTACTGCTCTAATGAGTTACCATAAACAGTGGCTGAAAACAATAGTTATTTTCTTATAGTTTTGGAGGTCAGAAGCTCAAATTCAGTTTCATTTGGCTGAAGCCAAGGTGTCAGCAGGGCTGGTTCCTACTGCAGCTTCTGAAGGAAGAACCCATTTCCTTGCCCTTTTTCAGCTTCCGGTGGTCACCATATTGCTTGGCTTGTGGCCCCCCATTCAATCTTCAAAGTACATTACTCCAATCCTATTTCTGCCATTACATTATCTTCTCCTCTGCCCTCCTCTTACCAGAATACTTGTGATTCCATCACTGGGCCCACCAGGATAATCCAAGATAATCTCTTTATCTCAAAACTGTTAATTTAATCACATCTGCAAAATCCCTTTTATTATATAAGGTAATATATTCCCAGAGTCTGAGGATTAGGATGTGGACTCTTAACGGGATATTATTAAGCCTATCACATACTTGTTGGGCAATCATTGCAGTATAAGACTACATAATTTTACTCTCCAGAAAAAAAAAAAAATCTGTCTGGTATTAAAGATACGTGCTTAGAAAAAGCTCACCTATTCAAGTTTGAAACATTGACACAGAACATAACAAGATGCTTACATTTCTCTGTGGCACAAATATTTCCACACCTGTCCATTCAGGTTCTTTTACTGGTCTTAGCATCATCTACTGAACTTTAAAGAAGGTTTTTGTGCCCCACTTTCCCATTTAATAGGAATAAAAGTATCAGATATCTGCAAATGTTGTTAATTTTCATATGATTAATTTTGAAAATGATTTTTTTTTGCTATTGTCAGCTTTATACATATTTTACGTTGGTTGACATTAATTCATAGGTTCTGGAAATATGATGACATGCAATGTTAAAATAAGAATAATTATAATTCTCTATGATAAAACACTTAAAGTAAATTTTAATTTACTTCCAAATAATTCATAGTAAAATAAATTTAACTTTGAAAGTCCTTACATCATCTACATCAACTAAAACCTGCACCATTAAGAATGAAAGAAAGAAGGTGGGGGAGAAAGAAAGGAGAGGAGAGGAGGGAAGGAGGGGAGGAGGGAAGGAAGGAAGGAAGAAAGGAAGGAAGGAAGGAAGGAAGGAAGGAAGGAAGGAAGGAAGGAAGGAGAAGAGAAGGAAAGGAAAGGAGGGAAGGAGGGAGGGAGGAAACGAAGGAAGGAAGGAAGGATGGAAGGAAGGAAAAAGAGAAGAGAAGGAAGAAAGAGGGGAAAGAAAGAGGATGTAATAGATTACAACTACAGTGTTGAATATAGCTATCACCAGACAATTACTTAAAACAAGCAACTTGTAGAAAACTTAGTTAACTGTTTGAAAAAATTTCAGAAGTGTTATCTTAAATCAAACCAGTCATCACCACAACTGAGTCATCTCTAGTAAACTGTGGAGATCACATGCATGAAACCCAGATTTTTTCATTATAAACATTATTTACTGTTAATGCTTTAGTCCACAGATAAATCAAACTAGCAATCATGGCTTAAAATTCCCCAACTAACTTTTTCAGAAAAATTAAAATAACTGCTCTTAAGTAAATATCTTAGCATACTCTGAAAGCAAATAATTTTATCAAATTTTGATGCTGAATTTTTAATTCTTGCTTTTTAAAATTTCAGAATCAAAGCCATGTTGGTAGCAAACATTCTCTCATTAGTTGGAGCTCTCTTGATGGGGTTTTCAAAACTGGGACCATCTCACATTCTTATAATTTCAGGAAGAAGCATATCAGGACTCTACTGTGGTAAGTCAACCATGCACACACATGTGCACACACACACACACACTTGTCTTAAAATTATTCTAAAGGCAGATATGGTAACATGCAGGGAAGTTTTCAAGCCGGAGGTGGCATCACAAAAGGGAAAGGCAATAGCATAAAATTGAAGTCCTGAGTCAGGGAGGTTTGGGACCAGTAAGTGGGAGTTGTGAAACTATCTTCTTGCTCATGGCAATTTCCAGGGGTATAATCGAAGATAAATAATTTAACTCATAGCTTCCTGATCTGTTAAATGAAGGAGATAGTATGTACGATGTAGGGCACTTGTGAGAATACATGTAAAATGTTCAGCATAGAGTCTGCCTATAGTAAGCTGCCGAGAAAAGCCAGCTGTTGTTACTGCTCCTGCTCTGCAGTAGACAGTGGCACACTGCTACACTCAGAACCTCCACCTTGGCTCTTATGGCCTACTTGGCCACCTAGGTCTCTATCTCTCCTTTCTGAAAAGACCTCGACACCCAAGCCCATCCCTCAGACCACATTCCCTTAGCGGTTGGATTTCAGATGCGGCTGGGTGAAGCATTACAGTGGCAGTGACCACAGGGACAGGGAGTCAGGCAGGAGCAGCTGGTAGAGGAGTTCATAATGGACAAAGGATGCGCCCCTTGCGAACCTCACATCTGAATATCTGGAATCACTAGTTCTTGGAAATAGCTTTTCAAACTTTTGGAAGTTTCAAATTTTCAGAAGCAAATTTAATCAGCAGAGGTCTGAACATCTCTAAAAGGGAGGATCACTTCATCTCTAAAATAGCTAAATCTTTAGCTTCTCAATGCCGGTGAAGCCCTGATTCTGATGGTTTGGAGCCAAGGTTTTAACCCATTGTCCCAAATCATAGAGCTGTCTTTCAAAGCACTAATATCCACTGGGGCCAGGGGAGGGTGTGAGAGCACAAAATGATGTATAAAATGTTTATAGTTTTTACTTGCAAAGAGAAAAGACTACAGCTTCATGTGTCTTCAATGATCCCCTGAAACAAAAGTCCAAAATACCCACAAGTTAATAACTTAATTAAAAGTCTCTTTTCATTGTTTTCAATGTTAATACAAATAGCTGAAAGCTAGGATAGCTTTATCAAGGTGAAGAGGCAACCCACATGTGGAGAGATTTAGATTCAGAATGAATTAATTCTGGCACTGTCTCTGCCTGGCCTTAGATATATTAACTGGATGTTCTGTAAAATGCAAAGAATAACACTATCAAGGAGTTCCAAATCATGATTCTTCTTTCTTCTTTCTCCATTTTAAAAAATACGGTATGAAAAAAAAATCACAAATATTTTTGGGAAAATTGAAAAGAAATGCTATAAACATTGTGGAGCAACCTATCACTAGCATAGCCAAGTAACTTGTACTCCCCAATTATCTTTTTAAATTATGCCTGGTCCTGTTCTGAGCATTAAAATTGCTAAAGATTATAGGAAATACATTTTTTAAAAAAGATTTTATTTATTTATTTGAGAGAGAGAGAATGAGAGACAGAGAGCATGAGAGGGAGGAAGGTCAGAGGGAGAAGCAGACTCCCTGC